ACCCTAAAAGCCCTAAATTCACAAACCAGCATATTACACGATTACCCGAATTATTTCCACGCTGTAAGCGTCAGGCTTGGTTGAGTTTGTGACTTCGTCGCAGTCTGCAGATACCGCGTAGCATTTGTTAATCTGGCGCCTCCACACTGCAGAAAGTTAAAAGTTAGGCACGTACGTACGTGTGTACGTAGCAACGCGTTCTCTCGATTCAACACACCCTCCCAGTTTCACGCCCCCTAACGAATTCATAGAATCTGCCTCACAGATCGACAATCAAGTGTCGACTGCTGGAAGCCTCCCCTCACCCCTTCTCAAAATACAGACTGTTTCGACAAAGAATTTAAGAAATTTATTGTCTTAGGCGCTTAACAGCCTCGTGAGGAATTACGGTAAACTTTTCTTCTTGAAAAGAGAAAGCCCTTTTGTTTTTGGTGAAAGTAGTTTTGGTTGGCAACTCGATCTGTCGGTGAAAATTTGCTCGTAAGATATTTTGATGCACATGGAAATAGTATTTATTATATATATATATATATTTATTTATTTTGTACAGTCTATACACAAACGTTTGAAGTTTATTGGTGTTGTAAAAAATTATATAATATTAAAAACATTTTGTTGTGTAAAATATTAGCGCTCTTAATCGTAAATACGATTTTACATTATATTTTTTTTAGCGTTTTTTATTAAAACGACATGTTTCGACGGGTAATACCGTCGTCTTCAGGTTTTTATCAATTTAAAATATTTTAAAAACTATTAGATATTTAATGCAATATATTATAATGATCCGTAGTTCTGTTTGTAGCTTTCCATTTTCATGGTAAGTTGCTTATTGTAGTCAGACGTTATATTTCAACACAACAAAATGTTTTAATATTATATAATTTTTACAACACCAATAAACTTCAAACGTTTGTGTATAGACTGTACAAAATAAATATATTTAATCAAACACAAACATGACGCATATAAGATACAAAAAGTATTTATTATGTGTGTGTTCGTATAACCTTTGCCACGGTATGGTGATCACGTGATTTTAGGTTTTATGGGCTAATGTTGTAATTTACCACGGATATTCTGTAATACAGCATAGTTAATATAATCTTGACGTAAGATTATATTTTACAATGTTTTACGTGAATTAATAATTATGTTATTTAATAACAAAAGAAAAGTAACGATATTAATTCTTTTGTTACAAAACGTGGTGTAATTTTTTGTGAAGCCAGTACACTGAAACAAAAGACTGTTTACTCGTACGTGGTCTACTATGTACTTTTAATTATATAAGCAATGCAACTCAGCAAAACATATGCTCGTATCTTTCATAATGTAGGAAAGATTAAGTAATGATTTTAATTTTTGTATTCTGTTTTGTTACATTTATAAATAAAATGTGTTTTAATTTTGCATTAGTTCATATTTTCCCATCATTCTTGGTGGACATGTTTTTAGTATCATTATGGTGATTACTAGCGGTTAGAACGCTGGCCTTGTAATCCTGGGGTCTCGGGTTCGATTCCCGGCGGTGCCCGAATTTATAACTTGTGTTGGGCAAGGCCGTGGTCTAGGCAACACGGAGTTTTCCTCCGTGGCATCCCAACAATTACTCCATTCACACACAGAAGAAGGCAATGGCAAACCACTTCTGGATCATCTGCCAAGAACGTATATGAACAGGTCCCAGTCCGAGAAAAGGATGGAAGGATCCTGTTCATATGGACCTGACGTCAGACAGAACACTAAATAATAATAATAATAATAATAATGGTGATTAAATCAAAAAAGGTTGGTGTACGAGGACATGGGAGAGATGAGAAATTCATGCAGAATTTGAGTGGGAAACCCTGAAGGAAATAGAAAACTTGGGAGACTGAGGAATAGATCAGATGATAATATTAAAGTTGATTTTAAGTAAATAGAGAGTACAGATGTACTTGTCATTATACTTATAGTGTCTGGTTGTATCGAAGCGATGTTTTATTAAATATTCTTGATGATATTAAATGTTTATATGACTTGAAATTATTAAGGCAGGCCTATTCTGTGTTATCCCAGAAAATGATTTTACACGTTAGTATAGAAATGCATTTATCAAACTCTGTATTCCGTTAACAATAACTCTGTAGAACAGTCTTTAAAAAAGTCTCTTAAATTTTCAAAAGAAAATACAACCTCTACAGTTTATGGGACCCTAAATCTTGTAACAATTTTCGAAAGAGCCTATCGTTAACAAGTTTAGTCCATAAGGTAGTATATTTGCGTCATATTGTGAATTAGGTTAATATTTTAATATTTTCCGTCAAATCACAATTTTAATAAGATAATAAAATATAAAATATTTAAAATATCATTTCACGTTCCGCATCGAATGATCGATTTAATATATAAGAGTAATATGATAAGAACATTTCAATAAACTGCATAACATTGTAAATGATTGTAATTCGAGTTTTAAATTTACCAATCTAATTTATACCTGAGGACGGTTAAATATAACCGAAACATGTCGTAAGAGACGTTCCAATTTGTAAATCGATCATTCGATGCGGAACGTGAAATGATATTTTAAATATTTTATATTTTATTATCTTATTAAAAATTGTGATTTGACGGAAAATATTAAAATATTAAGTTTAGTCCAGTCTGGAGCTTTATATTCTGTTCGAAATTCGTTTTAATATTATCTTCCCTCTGCATCTGTTTCTAAAGCCATGCGTTCTGCATATTCGTTGATTTTATCACCGGAATATTCAGCGGTGAGTACAAATTATGTGGGTCGTGTCGTGTTCCCATCGTTCTCGTGACGTCAGCATCTCTACGCTGTGCTTTACACACGCGACTGTGTTTATCTGCTCAAGTGCCATTGTGTTTGCGTCTTCAAGGAGAGTGAGAGAGGGAATCCTGACAGGGAGGAAGCAGGACCTATTGTGAAGGAGACCTAATACGGAAACGATAAGTAACAGTAATCGGAGTCTCTCGGCTTCTGCACCCAGATGATGACGTCATGCATCGTCAGTCGAGTCTTGTTTTGGTTGGATTCAGGGACATTGTTACGCGTGTATTATCGCAATTTGGATCAATTACTGCATTGTTAAAGTTAGCAACACTTTGACGCGATAGTAAACGATTCAACTTGTGGAAGTCTGAATCTGCAACAGAAGACAGAGTTAGGAAATGTATTTCGAGTCGAGTAACTTCACAGGCTATACGATATACTGGTCTGATCAGACGCTGGTCCACTTCAGAATTGTATGATGTGAGGTCTTTCCCCGCTGCACGCCATGAAGCAGCTTTGGAGGAGAGGTTCCTCAAAATTTAGCGAACCGAATACCAGTGGTATTCAAACCTTTTTTGTTCGCGTACCCCCAGATATAATTTCTCTTTAACTTTGTACCCCAAAAAGTTGTTGGTGTATAATTCAAGTTATACGTAGTATATAATCTACATCTAAAATAAATTAAATAAATTACATTACTGATTATTCAGTGTTTATCGTAAAATAATATATTTTTTTTAAATTTCACGTACCCCCTAAGATGTCTTCGCGTACCCCCGGTTGAATACCACTGCCTTATACAATTCAATTTTTAGTTTATTCATATTTTTGTATCACAGCCAAAACTTCTTGTATTAAAATTAAATTGTACCCGCGTTATTTGAAATTTTTTCGGTTTTAATTCATTCTTCGAGTGTTTTGTCAGGAGTTTCTGATGTTGAGATAAATTCATTTTAATGCCCTACTTGGAGGTGTGACTGAATTATGGCTGTGGTATTTTAGTTTAAAATATGCCTGTATGCGAGATACATAAATGAATCCCACGTACGTGACATGTTAATTAAAATTGTGGTTAGATAAAACCATTTTTGGTGTGTTTGTCATCACTGTTTTCATGTTGATTATAAAATACCTTTATTTTAAGAGAATGTATGGCTTTGTCTTGAAAACTTACCTTCTGGTCTGAACGCACTAAGTCGAGGGGTTTGGGAGGGAAGGGGAGAGAAACTTCTCTCCTCCGGTGACGAGGGGGCTCATCTCCGGCCATTGCACTAATTATAAAAGACTCCTTGCTGATAGGGTGAAAGGGTTTTGAGGGAAAAAATAATCTAAAGCAAAGTTATCGATAGGAAAATGAAAATATCCGATGACAAGGTGGCTTCATGTTCGAAGGAACTCTTCCTGTAGGTTGTTGGAAGTTTCTGTCCTTCCTGTACGCGAAATAGCGAACAACGAAGTGGCCACGTGGACGAATGACTGAAAATACATTTCCCCCCATTTATGTTGTGAGGTAAATTTTCGACTGATACTTTAATGTTGGTACTACCGAAGAATGAAAGTGGTGGATTGTTTTACGTATTTCTTTATTTTGAGTTTTAAGCTTCGATAAAAAAATGACAAACGAACGATGGAAAATTTTTAATCTTGGGTAAACGAAGATTTTAAGATTGCTGTCCTGTTCTTTGTAGCACCGTGTAGTCTGGTAGAAGTTTTCGATTAATACGATCACCCTGAGGACCTCTGAAACGTCGGTAAACTTCTGCCAGACAGCCATCTTCATGCTCGCCTCTAACTCTTATAATTTATCCGCTGATTTAAAAATATAAATTAATGCGTATTTATTTAAACAAATCCGCAAATAAATTGTTACCATTACCCCTTAAAATCCAGTGGTAATTATATGTACCGCCTACTTCAACAGTCAGTAACTCTTCATTTTATATTTATGGATTTAGTATGAGTCTCACTGTAAACAGCGATTATTTCATTAATCAGCGTTAACTATTTGATCTTTGTAATGGTGAAGAGATGTGTTTTCTTCGCGGTACGGACTGATTTATTAATACGTAGATGAACTTGGACTTCTGAGAGTTAAAGTAGCAACACCACACGCCTTCATAATTAAATTTTAAAAGCCTTTTGTGTTAATATGCCGTGTTATAAAATTTGTTTATATCCGAAAACTAATTCAGTCTAAGATAAGGCTTCATTCGGAAAGTCTGTCTTGCGTGCAATGCGACGTTCTTCAGACTTCTCGACTTACAAAGTGTACCAACACTCTGACGTTGAATTCAATAAAGACAGGGTAAGATTAAATCTCTTTTCCAGAACTTTTTTTCCTTGTGACCTTTTTTTTTTTTAAATTAAGCTGTGAAATGAGAAACCAAGTTGGAAGGTGGAAACTTTTTAGGCGTAATCTCAATTAGCCCCAATCCTATCCAGTGGCTACTGTCATATACTTTTCGGTACGCCCTTCACTGACGACTGTTAAGAGTGTGGCAAAGTCTACTTTTGCCGTCATCAAAAAAGGGTTATCTGTTAACAGGCGACAGCGATACGCGATGGTTTGTAGGTGGGAAAACCAGCGTATTTCCTCTTAACGGTAACCACCCTGGTCCATGTCCAGTGTAGGATTTTCCCGCTGATGGATGGGGAGAAGATGAGAGGGATGTTCATCCTCCATCCTGAACGACCAACATCTGCTATTAAATATTTAGAGATCCTCCACAGCACACACGTTAAAAAAAAAACAGTCTATGCGCCACAATATGCGAAATCTACTTGCTCAATTATTCCACGAATTATTTACCTATTTTCATTGTCCTGTGGCCGGGAGACATTTTCAAAAATTCAAAGCACGAAAGAATCGATTGCCAGCCAACGAAAATCGCGGGAACTGAATCGCAGATTGGGAGAGATGGAAAAAAAAAACAGACGAATATATAACACGCGCATTTCAATGAGACAGAATGATACCGTGGATTTCAAGTTTCCTTGTTGCCATAGAGACGTTTCTTCGTCAATTTCTGACAGAAAGGGTTAATTCTAAATCCCGTATTTTAATATTTTAGTATAAAAGTGAGAATATCTTGTATTGTATTCTACGGTTATGTTTAAATAGTAGATTTATGATTGTGTTTATGTAAATATGTGTGATAATTACTGATTCTTTTATAACAGTATCATGTTTCAAGTCAAACTTAGAACGTTCTGTGTATGAAAAGTACTTCAACAGATGGATTTTCCTTCCTTCTTCAGGTGAAATGTATGTGGTAAGAGGACAGGGCCCTGGTAGAGATAGCTTTAGAGCAGATACAGGTCTAAGATTGTTTAGTTTCAATAAAACAAGAGATTTCTTAAAGGAAGCATTGTACTTTTGAAGGCATGTAGTTGAAATACCTTCAGACTGAATTCAGTATCTCGTCCTGTGCCTTAATATCTGCGTTGTTCTGATATTGATCTTTGAACGTCTCTCACCCTACGGCTACCCCCAATAGCATCACTGAATGATTGGTTATCGTCAAGGAAAACAGGGAACCAGCACTTTCAACCCCCTGTGCCACATATTAGACTTGCTATTAGCCACATGTTCACTCCCTGTCCCCCTGTCGTAGGGAAATATAAAAAAAAGTTGAAATTTAATCTCATACGTGCGTCAAACGTGGGCCTATTATATGAATGTGCTACGTGTGGAGTAATCGCCAGTTTTTGCGCCCTTGTATGCAGTAACGTAACTGTGTCCTGTTTCGTACTAGATGTGGAAAGGTAGATTAATTTCCCGAAATGAAACTCTTTACATGATATTTTACGTTTTCAAGGCGGTGAGTCCGAAGATGGCTGTCGTCTTGGTTGTAACGTCGTGTAATCTTCTAGAAGTTTATAGATGTTTCGGAGATATTTGTTGCCGCCATCATCAGGGAGATTGCATTATAAACTACTATCGTTTTCGTCCTTATCATAATTAATTTACGATTTATATAATAACCAGCAGCGTTCAGGAGGAATTTAAGACGGGTACTATAAAATTATATCATGGTATGTTTTTTTTAAATAGCACAGATCCAGGGTATAGGAATTTTGGGTGTTAAATGAAATAAAAATGTGACGTGGAAGAAGTTTGCTTATTCATGGATGGATGGTACCCACATCGTGATTATTTAGTCTGTGTGGAAGAGGTAAATTTAACTGAGAAAATCTTACACGTGGTCTCCCACTTGGGTGTAGAAGGGAAATTAATATTAAATGTAATCTAATATAAATAGGTTAAGACGATGAGATTTGAAGTGGTCTGGATATAATGAGGTCCAATTGTTTTTACCTTTTGTAAAAACGATGGTAATGAACCTACGATTTCTGGTATCGCCACTTTTCGTGCAAGCCTTTTTAAACATAAATACGAAATTTGAAGCTATAGAATCTTGAAACAGATATTTGGGCTTGATGTCAGGTTTTAAACGTTTCGAAGCATTTCTGTAAGTCTACAGCATCTTAATTTTTCTTTACAAGTGCTGACAACCCTCTTTCAACACGTTTTAAAGAAGACGGATAATCTTGTGAACTCCGATTTGTTTCGTGGTGTAACGTGAGAGGAAGTAGTTGTCACTGAAAAAGAAAGAAAAACTTTGCCGAGTGAAATCTCTTGACGTGTTCCAACAAGACAGCGGGTGGATCGGATAATCCATGTCGGAATTTTTGCAATACCTTGGGGCAAATCTTGAAGAAACTCACGAAAACAGATTTCAGAGCACTTAGACGGAAGTGAGTTGTGTTGTATATGTTCTTAGCAGAGTTAAAGATGGAAATCAGATCAATTATCAGACTCTTAGAATAACAAAATGGTCTACTTCTGCTGGTAGTCACAGACGCCTCTGCCGAGAATCGTCCATTCTCAAGCCCTTCACTTATAACACAAAAAATTGTTTTTTATCATCCCTTTAAAACGTTCCCTACTGATAACACAAAAAATTGTTTTTTTATCATCCCTTTAAAACGTTCCCCAGTACGAGTTACATACTACGGTACAATATTTCATCGGAAGAAGGCCAGCCCTTGTGTAATAGACTCTCTCGACTTCTCCTGTGGCACTAGAGTCAAGGTCACCCTGGTTGCTAGGCCGATGATCACGCCAGGTGCGCAGAAGCTGGTGTTCATTACTTTGCGTCGAAATCGTTTGCTGATCTTCGTGAAGCATTTGGCTACGTTTATCCTGATAATGTACCAAATAAGACAATAACGTATCGAGTGATAACATCGTTTAGGAACACAGTACGTTTCTGTTTGTGACAAGCGTTTATCGAGCGACACGACAGGTGAAATTGTACGACCGTATCGATTTGAAGTAGTGAATTAGCTGCAACTATGGTATAAGGCTGTAAAAATTAAATATTGCCTTTGGTTTCGTCTCTTTTGTGAGTGATTTACGGTTGCGTTTTAAATGGAACACCCTGTATTTGGTCTCACTTTTATCAAGAAGAACCAATGTGTGATTAAATTGTACGCGGCGGATATATATAGATATACATATGGGCTGTCGACGTAAGGGATCGACTCTCCAGCCTTTTATAAACCAGTGTTGTACGATCCCCTCCGCCCCCCCCCCTCCCAGATTCAAAGCGCTATTTCGTCTCTGGACAGACGGACGGAGAGACATGTCGTAGTTAATAGGTTCGTTTCTCTTCTGTATAAATGTAGGTAAAAAAAATGGATCGCGTTGACGAATAATTGATTCGACAAAACTGTGAAATTTCGGGTTGCAATTTCAGGTGACTGAGCCCTGGTCGTCCCCACAACATTCTGACATTGCTCGCCAACATATACCAGTCCGTGATGCAGCTCGTAAAATATAGATTTTTTTGTGAATAAGAAAATTTTCTTCTATGCTATGTTTTCATGTAGTGTGGTGAGATATCTTGTATGTGCGTATTTATGCATTCATGTATGTTTGTACCAATGGGAAATCCTGGTTTAGAAGTCAGATCTTGGGTAAGTACAGCAGTAAATATATTAAAATAAAATTATTTTAATTTTAATTTTGTTAATTTAAAAATTCGGAATTGTAGACTGTCTTAACAAAGTAATTACTCTTAGATGATAATCGAAATGTCACGTAACGCATATTAAAATACTTAATGATGGTTGAAATTCAATAAAATTGAATTATATTAATAAACACACAATATCGCTGTGAATATACAAAAGCTCTCGCCAGGTAGCGTCATGGTATAAGCTGCTCGCGGCCAGATCGTCAGTTGTCTTTTAACGGTCGAAGTGCAAAGATGTCTTTTTCACAGATGCAACGAGTGTTCGTTGTCGAACATAACCTCACTCACATCTCGTTCTTAACTTGCCAGAATGAGTTTAGAGATACATTTCTCGATTCTCGATACTGAACAAATCGACATTGTCTCGTCTGGTGAACCGATTTCGTGACGTAGAAAAACTTTACCGGGTTAAAAGAAACATCGAGTTAATTCATCGCTTATCCTGGTGGACATTACCAACACTTAATATAACACTGTTTTTCTTTTGTTTTTTATTTCAAGGTTATTTACGGTTTTGACAGATAAAACGTGGGTCAAGAATTGACTTTTTGATTGTTTTACCTACATAAGCGATATAAAACCACTGTATATGAATTGTAACACTATATATTATAATGAATCACAGAAGTTTCTAGCTTTTCATAGCTGAAATGTCACGAGATTCACTCATTTTCTACGTAATATCAATACGCTTTTGTTAGAAAGAGCATGTCTAGATTGAACCCAGTGTACCTGCCTTCAAGAGAGTTGAAGCAGGAATCAATTTTCTATCAAGAGACTTAAAAACCATATAAAGGGCACGGATTTTCTGTGGTCCTTTTCAAGAATGAAATGATGTTAAGTGGTGTTTTCACAGGGACTTTATATATTACAGCGAACTTTCAGTAGAATACGTGGCTTTTATTCTGCAAGACGGTCTTGTTGACAAGTTGGATTTTGCTTCTTATAAAGAACCCACCCTCACTTTTAAGTCTTCTCTGTGATTGCGGATATATTCTGAGATGAATCGCTAAATTGCTGTTGGTACAGTTTAACTCTTTTTTGGAATTTGCGAGTTCATAACTATGGTGACCTTGTTACTTAATGGAAATCAAGGACACTCTGCTTCCAGGAGAATTAGTGACGTCGTTGAGAAAAATGAATAGTAACTAACTAACTAACTAACTAACTAGGCCTGCATTTAGTGGACTATAAATTAACATGATTCTAGCCGTAGTAAATGAATATTTAGGCTCTTTTTTCGTAGCAGTGATATTTTAAAATGAACTATTGCATCTATGATAGTTAAATATGGCTATCGATTTTAGGTTACAGCTTGTTTGTTGTTACTGATAATTATAATTATGGCGATCGTATGAAATTTTGTTAACAATTTACTGTTATTTTATGTGTACTAGTGGATAACGTGTACCACGGTGGTCTAGCGATTAAAACGCTGGTCTCGTAATCCTGGGGGTCTCAGGTTCGATTCCCGGCGGTGCCCGAATTTATAACTTGTGTTGGGCAAGGCCGTGGTCTAGGCAACACGGAGTTTTCCTCCGTGGCATCCCAACAATTACCCCATTCACACACAGAAGAAGGCAATGCCAAACCACTTCTGGATCATCTGCCAAGAAAGTATATGAACAGGTCCCAGTCCGAGAAAAGGATCGAAGGATCCTGTTCATATGGACCTGTCCTCAGACAGAACACTAAATAATAATAAGATGAGGTGGGCTAGCGGTTAGAACGCTGGCCTTGTAATCCTGGGGGGTCTCGGGTTCGATTCCCGGCGGTGCCCGAATTTATAACTTGCGTTGGGCAAGGCCGTGGTCTAGGCAACACGGAATTTTCCTCCGGGGGCTTCCCCGGTTTCTCCGGGGCATCCCAACAATTACTCCATTCACAAACAGAAGAAGGCAATGGCAAACCACTTCTGGATCATCTGCCAAGAACGTATATGAACAGGTCCCAGTCCGAGAAAAGGATGGAAGGATCCTGTTCATATGGACCTGTCCTCAGACAGAACACTAAATAAATAAAAGTGAATAACATTATAAGAAAGAGACAATGAATTTGTAGGCTGAATAACTGAATTACATTCGGGAGGTGACCTACTATAATACGTGGTTTTCTTAAGTAATTTCAGAAAGATATTAAATAGACCACGACCGCTTCCTGTACTTTTGACGCAGATTCGTGAAATTAAACAAGAAACAGTAAACATCACTCGTCTGTTTTGTTGTTAATGGCGAAATGTGATTTGTTTTTTTTGTTTTTTAGGCCTCGTCTTTAGTCAAAGCCCTGAAACACCATCAACAACGGGACCGGGAGAGAGATAGGGAACGCGACGTCGTGGACTCGGTGGGCAATGGGAAGGGAAGCCCGGGTCCAGCGCAGGTTCCCGCAAGCAGCAAGTCTACCGCGGCAACGCAGCCTCCAGGACAAACGACGACCTCGAATCAGCCGTCTCAACCCGCGGCCCAACAACAACAACAACAACCCCCTCAGACGTCACAAGCCACACCACATCAGCAGCAGCCGCCCCCTTCCACCCCCCACCAACAGCAGATGATGATGTCCCCTGCCTCAGGGCTTCAGCAGATGCAACAGCTGTTACAACAGCAGATTCTTAGTCCAACTCAGCTGCAGTCCCTCATGCAACAACACACGCTGTTTCTCCAACAGCAGCATCACCACCACCAGCCGGTTAGTACGTGTTAACACCCATAGTATCGGCTAACACTGGATGTTAGGGTTTCGGAAAACATTCGTCGACTCCTCGTACCGACTCAGTCAAAAGTCGTTCTGAAAACCTGAAATCGTCTGTACGAATCTCACAATAAAAGTGTAGAATTTCGCAGAATTTGAGTGAGGTTTTCACGACGTTGAGTCTGAAGACGGCTGTCTTCTGGGTTGTTGCGCCGTGTAGAAGTTTACCGACGTTTCAGAGTTCCTTGCTGCCTCCATCATGAGGCCTAAGAGTTACTCAGAAGACAGCCATCTTTATCCCTGATTTTATCAGTCATATTTGATGAATATAAAGTATTATTATCATCGTCAATAAGATGTGGGAAATTCTCCAGACGTTTTGTGTAGGTCTTTACAAGTTCGTTCACCCGTTACTAAGCTTTGTTTACGTTATGAAAGCACAATTTTAAGGAGACAATAAAAAACGCAGACTTAACCTAAAAGAATTGTTTCTGTAAACAAGACTGTTCTCCGTCAACAACGATGGCCCCGTTTTTCTCCTTATGATTTTCAACTTTCGTGTCTGAACAAGGTCTGCCTTACATTTTAATTAAAGCATTGGATTTTTTTAGCCAATAAGAGTAAATGTGATTTTAATTGAAACTTTTTATATAACTGGATTAATGCCGTATTGATGGTCCCAAATGTTACGAAGTAAGGTTAGGTTATCATTTTCGTTTTAAGAATAACACCAATCTTCAAGGAAATGTAGATTTAAAGAAAATTCCACGTGATACTGTTTGGATCATATATCACGATTATACCTGGAGATTGGTATAGATAACAAATTCTAATGTTTAGTTTAATGTACTTGTTTTTATTATTTATTGAATTTATGTTAGAACTTTGAAGCCGCTAAAGGATTTGCAGAGTTTACGTCAGATACTAGGCGTCGTCTTGGCTATAGCGTGTCGTCTGATAGAATTTTACAGACGTTTCAGAGGTCATTGCTGCGTTATCGCTCTCATAATGGAGGAAGCATATGTCTGTAGAGTTAATGAGGCTATATTATAATAATTCTTTTTAAGATTTTTATCGTCAAAATTATTTTGTTTTTTTAAGTGCATAAGTTTGTAACATTGTCCAACAGTCTACGAGTAATAATGTTCTGTTTTGTTTGTATGACTGTTTACGTCCAAATATGGTACTAAAAATGTGTGTTGTGTTCAGTCTGAACCTTTATTCTTACAGGACACTGCAAGTGATATTCCTGCCAATGACAGATTTGGGTACCTTACGCTAAAATCAGTGGTGAGTTACAGATTTTGATCTACTAATGTGAAATTATAAAATAGTTAGGTTATGTACGGTTTGAGGTTGTGACAGCGGTGAGACCGAAGATGGCCGCTGTGTTCTGGGTTATAGCGCTGTAGTCTGGTAGAAGTTTACGAACTTTTCGGAGGGCGTTGCTGTTCTGTTATCATGGCGATCGCCCAGAAGACTGACATTTTAGGTTATGTTTCCCAAAGCATCTAAACGTAACGTATAATAGTTTACGTCTGTAAATTTATAAGTTTGTTTTATTTTAAATGATGAAATTTCGTTAAAACTGTATGTAGTCCCGTGTAATTTACATCAGATTTCTTTTTGTAACTAAGTTTTGAATTTTATTGTCATGTTACAAATGTACATTTGTGTTTTGTTTGTAATGTTGTCAATTCGCTAGACACTGAAGAAAAGATTTAGTGGTATTTTCTTATAACTTTTTATCTGTATCTTATTTAAGTTTTGTAGAGTCCATAGGCCTTGCTGTTAAAACATTTTAAAATACTTAATAATGTAATATTTTATACAGATTTTTGTTTGTTTTAAAATTCTCTTAACATCGTATAGTGGAAACATCCTTTTTTATTCGTGGATTTTAGGCATACTTGTCAAAACAGGACGATTTAAAAATTGTTATGGTTGGATTGGAGGTAAATTCCAGTTGTTTCAGTCTGAACGTTGACGGTAAAAAACAATGCGTACCAGACTGTGCGTGTCTTTCAGTCGAAACGGGTGACGACATAGACTCCCCCCCCCCCCCCCTTGAAAAAAAAAACAATACCCTATACTGATAGAATTAATATTTACAAAACATATACATCAAAATGATGTACCTATTTTAAATTAAGACTCTCGGTATAAAGCGAAAATTCTCATTTACATTTTCAGTACTTTTGGATGAAGTGTTTCTTTAACTGGTAAGATTGATTAAAGTAGCTGTCACTAGATTTTAAAGTCGTACAAGGTTACAACACGAACATCGGAGCTCAGGCGAGTAAAGACAATTTAGAACTGGCAGCGTAGGAAAGCTAGCACAGCTGTACTGGACAGCATGCTATTTGTTGTTGGCTACTTTCTTTATGTACGTTTATAACAGGAGATATATGGGGCGATAAACAGAACTCTAAAGTAATGTTAAAAAAATCTGGTTAGATGTAACAGGAATATTGGTAAAATTCAGATAATCGGAAACTGGATTTTAACCACGGCTCTAACAAATTGTACGATCGTATGACATCCAAGTTTATTGTCACGATGTGATCTGGGATCAGTGTCTTGTTTCAATAATGACACCGGTTTACAATGTTACAACAGAGAAGGAAATCGTTGTCAGTGTACATTGTTGTAACAAAGGTAACCAGGGCCATTGTTGTAAAACACGTAGATTACCCAGTTCGTAGGGAAAATGTTACACAAGAAGAGATCTTTGGTATTTTCTGAACATGTGGAAAGCCAGACAACTTCTGTGGTAAACAAACGACCAGTCCGACTTAAAAAAAGACTTGATTGCATCAGACAGCCGCGTGTTACTAAAACTGCGAGAAAAAAAAAAGAGAGTCGAAGACTGCGATGCGTAGGGAGATAAACAAAACACTGTAGTCTAGTTGGAACAGACGAAGTCTAAGAACTTAAGTTTTTATTGACCAGAGGACAAAGGAATTTTGAATTTATTTCTGCGTAATTATTCGTGTTTTTTGTGATGCTCTAGACGATGCTATATCAATTACCGAGGTTATCAAAATATTAAGACGTAAATTCCTTACACAACCTTTCATTTTACGTTTTATAGTACAAGATTCTGAAATTTTCGTTAGATAAACTATTATATAAATAAATAAATAAAGACGATGTCACGTGAGGAGTGTAAATCATGAAATTACTTCTTGCATTCTGTATGCAAATATCCGTATAAGACCTTTGTTTTCCAACATTTGAATTCCGCGATAGAATAACCTCAAAGTTAAAACACGCATTTCCAAATCGGGGTTGGGGGGAGTGAGACGGGGGTTTTCGCTACTTGAACGGGAAAACAACCGAAGTTGTATCGGTTCACAAGTTTCGATACTTCTATTATTTATTTCCAAGTCATTGATTCCTGCATTGTCGAGAGAAATGTTGATGGGTGTTACAGTTTTGGAACTTATCATGCTTAAAGCCCCCTCGATTTTGTTCTAAACCTTATCTGTTTTATTGTTTAGCTGTTACGTATCGACTCACATGCTACTTACTGCCCGGGACATGAATACAAATGAACTCGTGAAGTCTATATATGCTATTCAAATTTTAATTATTGATTCGCGTGTTATTAAAATTGTCGCCGATCGATATTAGTACTACACTGCCTTCGATCAATCGAACACTGAGATCGAGAGTTGGAATTCTTAATTGTGTTATCGATACATCGATGTTGCCTCGGGTAGGAAGGAGTATTACTGAATATCTAACTAAAACGTAAACATCT